AAAACAAAAAGAAATCAAACATGGAAATCGGTTAAAAATTTGAACTTTGTTTAAAAAAAAAATCTTAAATGTAGGTTATTAGAGAATTAAACCACAAATTGATAGAGGTATCCCACTTCAAAATCGGTATCCAATGACTCAAGATATGAATTATAGAAGTGCCATTTTTGGTCCCCATTTTGAAAACCATTGAAAACACAAAGAAATCGAACATGGAAATGGGTTAAAAATTTGAACGTCATTTAAAAGAAAACCTTGAATGTAGATTATTTGAGAATTTAACCACAAATTCATAGAGGTATCCCACTTCAAAATCGGAATCCAATGACTCAAGATATTGATTATAGAAGTGCAATTTTGGGTTCCTATTATGCAAACCATTGATAACACAAAGAAATCGAACATGGAAAGGGGTTAAAAATTTGAACTTTATTTAAAAGATAATCTTGAATGTATGTATACTGTTATTAGAGAATTAAAACACAAATTTATAGAGGTGCCCCACTTCAAAATCGGTATACAATGACTCAAGATATGAATTATTGAAGTGCAATTTTGGGTTCCTATTATGAAAACCATTGAAAACACAAAGAAATCGAACATGGAAATGGGTTAAAAATTTGAACGTCATTTAAAAGAAAACCTTGAATGTAGATTTTTTGAGAATTTAACCACAAATTTATAGAGGTACCCCACTTCAAAATCGGTATCTAATTACTCAAGATATCGGTTATAGAAGTGAAATTTTGGCTACCCATTCTGAAAACCACTGAAAACACAGAAAAATCAAACATGGAAATGTGCTAAAAATTGGAACTTTATTTAAAAGATAATCTTGAATGTAGATTATTAGAGAATTAAACCACAAATTCATAGAGGTATCCCACTTCAAAATCGGAATCCAATGACTAAAGATATGGGTTATAGAAGTGCTATTTTGGGTTCCCATTCTGAAAACCATTGAAAACAAAAAGAAATCAAACATGGAAATCGGTTAAAAATTTGAACTTTGTTTAAAAGAAAACCTTGAATGTAGATTTTTTGAGAATTTAACCACAAATTTATAGAGGTACCCCACTTCAAAATCGGTATCTAATTACTCAAGATATCGGTTATAGAAGTGAAATTTTGGCTACCCATTCTGAAAACCACTGAAAACACAGAAAAATCAAACATGGAAATGTGCTAAAAATTGGAACTTTATTTAAAAGATAATCTTGAATGTAGGTTATTAGAGAATTAAACCACAAATTGATAGAGGTATCCCACTTCAAAATCGGTATCCAATGACTCAAGATATGAATTATAGAAGTGCCATTTTTGGTCCCCATTTTGAAAACCATTGAAAACACAAAGAAATCGAACATGGAAATGGGTTAAAAATTTGAACGTCATTTAAAAGAAAACCTTGAATGTAGATTATTTGAGAATTTAACCACAAATTCATAGAGGTATCCCACTTCAAAATCGGAATCCAATGACTCAAGATATTGATTATAGAAGTGCAATTTTGGGTTCCTATTATGCAAACCATTGATAACACAAAGAAATCGAACATGGAAAGGGGTTAAAAATTTGAACTTTATTTAAAAGATAATCTTGAATGTATGTATACTGTTATTAGAGAATTAAAACACAAATTTATAGAGGTGCCCCACTTCAAAATCGGTATACAATGACTCAAGATATGAATTATTGAAGTGCAATTTTGGGTTCCTATTATGAAAACCATTGAAAACACAAAGAAATCGAACATGGAAATGGGTTAAAAATTTGAACGTCATTTAAAAGAAAACCTTGAATGTAGATTTTTTGAGAATTTAACCACAAATTTATAGAGGTACCCCACTTCAAAATCGGTATCTAATTACTCAAGATATCGGTTATAGAAGTGAAATTTTGGCTTCCCATTCTGAAAACCACTGAAAACACAGAAAAATCAAACATGGAAATGTGCTAAAAATTGGAACTTTATTTAAAAGATAATCTTGAATGTAGATTATTAGAGAATTAAACCACAAATTCATAGAGGTATCCCACTTCAAAATCGGAATCCAATGACTAAAGATATGGGTTATAGAAGTGCTATTTTGGGTTCCCATTCTGAAAACCATTGAAAACAAAAAGAAATCAAACATGGAAATCGGTTATGAATTTGAATTTTTTAAAAAAAAAATCTTAAATGTAGGTTATTAGAGAATTAAACCACAAATTGATAGAGGTATCCCACTTCAAAATCGGTATCCAATGACTCAAGATATGAATTATAGAAGTGCCATTTTTGGTCCCCATTTTGAAAACCATTGAAAACACAAAGAAATCGAACATGGAAACGGGTTAAAAATTTGAACGTCATTTAAAAGAAAACCTTGAATGTAGATTATTTGAGAATTTAACCACAAATTCATAGAGGTATCCCACTTCAAAATCGGTATCCAATGATTCAAGATACGGATTATAAAAATGCAATTTTGGGTTCTTATTCTGAAAACCATTAAAAACACAAAGAAATCTAATGAAAATGCCTTAACGGCCAAAATAGAGTCGTACCCTTTATTCGTAGAGTAAATTTAGAGAAAATATATAAATGGTTTTTTAAATCCATGACTGATTTTAAAGTAAAGTAGCAAGAAGCTAGAACTAGATGAAGAATTTATTTGCGTGTCGATTAATTAGGTCTTTAACGATTTCAAATTGACTATGCTTGGGTCCAGTTTTGCAGAGGCAAAATTCCCAATTTATCTTTTTAAAATTCCTGCGACCTTCTCCCACTTTTTTTCTCCTTTTTTTTATTTTACCCATTCTCGTTCTTCTTCGATTAAATAAGCAAATTTTCAATTTATCTTTTTAAAATTCTTGCGACCTTCTTCCACTTTTTTCTCCTATTTTTTATATAACCTATTCTCATTTTTCTCTGTTCCTACACTTTAAACAAGCTAAAAAATGCAATATTTTTGAATCAAGGCGCCATGTGTTCTTCCTCTTCATGAAGATTAGTCATATTTTTCCTAATCTGGTAACACCAACCGCGTCTTTCTCTTTAACCGCCATCTACAATTTTTTTTTAAAAAGTAAGTAAAGTATTTACTTCTTATTTTATTTACTCTTTTGGAAAAATGATATATATATATATATATATATATTCATTTTTTTATACATTTTTTCAACAGGAGTTACTCTTTTCGGATAGATTATTATTCAATAACTGGGGACTTAAATTGTGGAAGCTTAAATATATTGAATGATGAAAGTTGAGTAGTATAAGAGTAGTAGAAGAAGTAGTAGGGACAAATCTGGCCACCGAGGGCGTTTTCTACTTTTTGCTTTGCTTTTATACATTTCAAGTAAGTCCCCGAAAAGGGCATGTAAAAAAAAATGTACAGCATGTGAGAGTTCGTCTTGTCGGGTGTGTGAATCGGCTTTTTTGTTGGAGACTTTCCCCGTGTACACGGCGAATTCCCTGGACCTTAACCATTGTGTAGCGCACCTATCGTGTAAAATAGGGTTTTATTAATGAATTTAATTGGACTCAAATTCATATGTTAATTGATATTTTCAAACCATTAACAGCTGATCGCACAAGGCCAAACATAATTTTGGCTCCATCTGGTGTTAAAACTGCCACTGCTAAATACGAACAAGGTTGATGTCTTAGCCAACTGTTATACACTATAGATACGGTGCGCTACACAATGGTTCAAAACCAGGGAATTCGGCTTGAAGTCGACGAATTGGCGGCGAACAATATGAAGAGTTCCACTGGGATAAATGGCGCCACTGTTGTAGTTGCGCCTTATATACAAGTTTTTCGATAAAATTCGATTTTGATTTTAAAAAAAAACAAACAATAGAAGAAAAAAAAAACGAACAAAAAATAAATTGAATTGTGTTGAATTTTAAAGCTGGTGGCGAAAATTTACGCTTCCGAGGGCTCAACTTGGCGAGATCCCCCGGCGCCTACGATACACATACACATCCACATCCTAGGGCTCCAAGAGTAGCAGACGAGTACCAGGAGGAGGCAGTAAAAATCCGGCCATGCTGGAAGGATCCGGACGACCAGGCGCAGTCGGAGAGCCTTCTGCGGGCGAAGCACGCCTCTCCGGCCATCGCTTTTGAACTGTTAGCGGTCGTTCCAAGGATCTGGCATAAAGAATTTTGTTCAGTGTAAATTTAAATTGATTTTTCGACCAATACCTTGATGCTGAGAAAGTTTTCCCTAAGTAAAAAATACTTTTTTAAGGTCAGTAGTACCGCTACCGTCCGCCAGGTGCCGTGGCGCTGGCAGTCAAAAAAAGTAAAATTCTATGGCTGTCAGATGCCATAGCACACAGGTCAATAATTTTTAGCTATAACTAGTTGGGAATTATAAGTGCCAAATGCGAGTATTGAAAAATTGGCGGTTGACGTGACCAATTGTAAATTTCATTATTATTAACAACAGATCATTTAACATTATTTTAAAATTATTTATTATTAAGCGCACCACGTAATCAAATAGGGATGGGCGTGTCAACCAAATAAGCTTCCAAAAATGCATTTATAATGAGGGAAGTACAACCTCCCTAGGTTGTAATCAACTTTGATTTGCTAAAAAACAATAGAACAAGAACATTTTTAAAAATAGCAAAAACAATTTTTCTTTCTTGAGTATACACAGATATTTTTTTTTGTGTAGTTAATACTTTAAGTCAGTAGAACCTCTACCGTCCGCTAGGTGCCGCGGCGCTGGCAGTCAAAAAAAGTAAAATTCTATGGCTGTCAGATGCCATAGCACACAGGTCAATAATTTTTAGCTATAACTAGTTGGGAATTATAAGTGCCAAATGCGAGTATTGAAAAATTGGCGGTTGACGTGACCAATTGTAAATTTCATTATTATTAACAACAGATCATTTAACATTATTTTAAAATTATTTATTATTAAACACACCACGTAATCAAATAGGGGTGGCGTGTCAACCAAATAAGCTTCCAAAAATGCATTTATAATGAGGGAAGTACAACCTCCCTAGGTTGTAATCAACTTTGATTTGCTAAAAAACAATAGAACAAGAACATTTTTAAAAATAGCAAAAACAATTTTTCTTTGTTGAGTATACACAGATATTTTTTTTTGTGTAGTTAATATATATATATCTTGTACTTTATACTTTAAGTCAGTAGAACCTCTACCGTCCGCTAGGTGCCGCGGCGCTGGCAGTCAAAAAAAAGTAAAATTCTATGGCTGTCAGATGCCATAGCACACAGGTCAATAATTTTTAGCTATAACTAGTTGGGAATTATAAGTGCCAAATGCGAGTATTGAAAAATTGGCGGATGACGTGGCCTATTGTAAATTTCATTATTATTAAAAAAAGATCATTTAACATTATTTTAAAATTATTTATTATTAAGCACACCACGTAATCAAATAGGGATGGGCGTGTCAACCAAATAAGCTTCCAAAAATGCATTTATAATGAGGGAAGTACAACCTCCCTAGGTTGTAATCAACTTTGATTTGCTAAAAAACAATAGAACAAGAACATTTTTAAAAATAGCAAAAACAATTTTTCTTTCTTGAGTATACACAGATATTTTTTTTTGTGTAGTTAATACTTTAAGTCAGTAGAACCTCTACCGTCCGCTAGGTGCCGCGGCGCTGGCAGTCAAAAAAAGTAAAATTCTATGGCTGTCAGATGCCATAGCACACAGGTCAATAATTTTTAGCTATAACTAGTTGGGAATTATAAGTGCCAAATGCGAGTATTGAAAAATTGGCGGTTGACGTGACCAATTGTAAATTTCATTATTATTAACAACAGATCATTTAACATTATTTTAAAATTATTTATTATTAAGCGCACCACGTAATCAAATAGGGATGGGCGTGTCAACCAAATAAAAGCTTCCAAAAATGCATTTATAATGAGGGAAGTACAACCTCCCTAGGTTGTAATCAACTTTGATTTGCTAAAAAACAATAGAACAAGAACATTTTTAAAAATAGCAAAAACAATTTTTCTTTGTTGAGTATACACAGATATTTTTTTTTGTGTAGTTAATATATATATATCTTGTACTTTATACTTTAAGTCAGTAGAACCTCTACCGTCCGCTAGGTGCCGCGGCGCTGGCAGTCAAAAAAAGTTAAATTCTATGGCTGTCAGATGCCATAGCACACAGGTCAATAATTTTTAGCTATAACTAGTTGGGAATTATAAGTGCCAAATGCGAGTATTGAAAAATTGGCGGATGACGTGGCCTATTGTAAATTTCATTATTATTAAAAAAAGATCATTTAACATTATTTTAAAATTATTTATTATTAAGCACACCACGTAATCAAATAGGGATGGGCGTGTCAACCAAATAAGCTTCCAAAAATGCATTTATAATGAGGGAAGTACAACCTCCCTAGGTTGTAATCAACTTTGATTTGCTAAAAAACAATAGAACAAGAACATTTTTAAAAATAGCAAAAACAATTTTTCTTTGTTGAGTATACACAGATATTTTTTTTTGTGTAGTTAATATATATATATCTTGTACTTTATACTTTAAGTCAGTAGAACCTCTACCGTCCGCTAGGTGCCGCGGCGCTGGCAGTCAAAAAAAGTAAAATTCTATGGCTGTCAGATGCCATAGCACACAGGTCAATAATTTTTAGCTATAACTAGTTGGGAATTATAAGTGCCAAATGCGAGTATTGAAAAATTGGCGGTTGACGTGACCAATTGTAAATTTCATTATTATTAACAACAGATCATTTAACATTATTTTAAAATTATTTATTATTAAACACACCACGTAATCAAATAGGGGTGGCGTGTCAACCAAATAAGCTTCCAAAAATGCATTTATAATGACGGAAGTACAACCTCCCTAGGTTGTAATCAACTTTGATTTGCTAAAAAACAATAGAACAAGAACATTTTTAAAAATAGCAAAAACAATTTTTCTTTGTTGAGTATACACAGATATTTTTTTTTGTGTAGTTAATATATATATATCTTGTACTTTATACTTTAAGTCAGTAGAACCTCTACCGTCCGCTAGGTGCCGCGGCGCTGGCAGTCAAAAAAAAGTAAAATTCTATGGCTGTCAGATGCCATAGCACACAGGTCAATAATTTTTAGCTATAACTAGTTGGGAATTATAAGTGCCAAATGCGAGTATTGAAAAATTGGCGGATGACGTGGCCTATTGTAAATTTCATTATTATTAAAAAAAGATCATTTAACATTATTTTAAAATTATTTATTATTAAGCACACCACGTAATCAAATAGGGATGGGCGTGTCAACCAAATAAGCTTCCAAAAATGCATTTATAATGAGGGAAGTACAACCTCCCTAGGTTGTAATCAACTTTGATTTGCTAAAAAACAATAGAACAAGAACATTTTTAAAAATAGCAAAAACAATTTTTCTTTCTTGAGTATACACAGATATTTTTTTTTGTGTAGTTAATACTTTAAGTCAGTAGAACCTCTACCGTCCGCTAGGTGCCGCGGCGCTGGCAGTCAAAAAAAGTAAAATTCTATGGCTGTCAGATGCCATAGCACACAGGTCAATAATTTTTAGCTATAACTAGTTGGGAATTATAAGTGCCAAATGCGAGTATTGAAAAATTGGCGGTTGACGTGACCAATTGTAAATTTCATTATTATTAACAACAGATCATTTAACATTATTTTAAAATTATTTATTATTAAGCGCACCACGTAATCAAATAGGGATGGGCGTGTCAACCAAATAAGCTTCCAAAAATGCATTTATAATGAGGGAAGTACAACCTCCCTAGGTTGTAATCAACTTTGATTTGCTAAAAAACAATAGAACAAGAACATTTTTAAAAATAGCAAAAACAATTTTTCTTTGTTGAGTATACACAGATATTTTTTTTTGTGTAGTTAATATATATATATCTTGTACTTTATACTTTAAGTCAGTAGAACCTCTACCGTCCGCTAGGTGCCGCGGCGCTGGCAGTCAAAAAAAGTTAAATTCTATGGCTGTCAGATGCCATAGCACACAGGTCAATAATTTTTAGCTATAACTAGTTGGGAATTATAAGTGCCAAATGCGAGTATTGAAAAATTGGCGGATGACGTGGCCTATTGTAAATTTCATTATTATTAAAAAAAGATCATTTAACATTATTTTAAAATTATTTATTATTAAGCACACCACGTAATCAAATAGGGATGGGCGTGTCAACCAAATAAGCTTCCAAAAATGCATTTATAATGAGGGAAGTACAACCTCCCTAGGTTGTAATCAACTTTGATTTGCTAAAAAACAATAGAACAAGAACATTTTTAAAAATAGCAAAAACAATTTTTCTTTGTTGAGTATACACAGATATTTTTTTTTGTGTAGTTAATATATATATATCTTGTACTTTATACTTTAAGTCAGTAGAACCTCTACCGTCCGCTAGGTGCCGCGGCGCTGGCAGTCAAAAAAAGTAAAATTCTATGGCTGTCAGATGCCATAGCACACAGGTCAATAATTTTTAGCTATAACTAGTTGGGAATTATAAGTGCCAAATGCGAGTATTAAAAAATTGGCGGTTGACGTGACCAATTGTAAATTTCATTATTATTAACAACAGATCATTTAACATTATTTTAAAATTATTTATTATTAAACACACCACGTAATCAAATAGGGGTGGGCGTGTGAAGGTTCTGATCAATTTTGATTTGCTAAAAAACAATATAATACAAGAACATTTTTAAAATAGCAAAAACAATTTTTCTTTGTTGAGTATACACAGATATTTTTTTTGTGTAGTTAATATATATATATCTTGTACTTCATACTTTAGGTCAGTAGTACCGCTACCACCCGCTAGATGCCGTGACGCCGGCAGTCAAAAAAGTAAAATTCCATGGCTATCAAATGCCATAGCACACAGGTCAATAATTCTTAGCTATAACTAGTTGGGAATTATAAGTGTCAAACGCAACTATAGAAAAATTGGCGGATGACGTGGCCAATCGTAAATTTCATTATTATTAAAAAAAGATCATTTAACATTATTTTAAAATTATTTTTTATTAAACACACACACACGTGTTAACCAAATAAGCTGCCAAAAATGCATTAAATATGGGGAAGGTACAAACTCCCTAGGTTGTGATCAATTTTGATTGGCTAAAAAACAATACAATACAAGAATATATTTAAAAATAGCAAAAATAATTTTTCTTTGTTGAGTATACACAGATGTTTTTTTTTGTGTACTTAATATTTATATCTTGTACTTCATACTTTATACCTCTGCAAGGGTAACAAAAATTAGGACTTATAAATGCATTGGGAAGAAAGGGATATGAGAAATGCTGGAGCAGCTAGGACCACATTAAAGATTATGGAGGTAGCATCGTTACAGCCCAGATTGCTTAAACTAACGACATACTGTGCCTCATCTGGTGTCTGACAGGCCTCGACCACACAGGAAATGTCACCAAAACCCTGAGCCTGCACTGAGAAAAACAAAGGAGGACACGGCTCAAAGTCATAGCCAACACAAGCGTCAGTAAGATCATAACTAAAAGATCCCAAGGCTGTAGACTCGCAGGTCTCTTCCGCCCTTAATGGCGCACTTAGATTCCGGAATGGTCGTTCGATGATTCGAGATGTACAAACAGTGAAAGTAATTTGACTTATGGGGGAGATCTTAAGGTAACGCATGCTCTGCCTAGCCGGTAGATAAAGTGAATCCAATCTGTAGAAATTAATACTACCCAAACGACCATACTGTTGAAGAGAGTTGGATCCGAACTCACTTATGATACCGTTCGCGTAACAACGGGGGTTGGAAAGTCGACGGGGCACTATAAAAATGATAATTGTTATTATTATTTTTTTTAGTTCTAAGAAACGTTACCTTGCCGAATCCGTGTAATAACGGGGTCGCCACAGCTTTCGGGTGGCTTTTCGGTGTTTAAAAGAAACAAATCTTTGCTCGGGTCTCTTACGAAATCATGGAACCTTACCAAAGCTCCACCTCCGTAGTAAATGAAGTGCAAGTTGGGCAGACGCCAACGCAATCGTTCCATATACCGCTGGCAATAGTCGTAGTCTTTTTCGTCTACGTAAGATAGCGGGCTTGGAATGAGAAGAGCAATTAATGACCGGCCTCCAAGATTGTCGATAGCCCGATCTGCTTCGAGCAAATCTTCAACTCTAACGTTTAATGTGTTTAAGATAAGTGGTAGATTAAAGCCATTTGGATCTGTAATGAATTCTTTAAGCAGATGTCAATCATTAAAAAACGTTCTTACGCCAAGAATGAGATGTGGAATTCCACTCTTCATAAACGTTGATAATGTAGTCCGTGGTATTAACAATGACTGACCCATCAGATGCTGCGAAAAGGGTTACCTTACTAGCGTACGGATGAATGTTAAGGTCCTGAAGGACGTAACTGTAACAAAACAAAATAAGTTTTTAATTATTTATTTTCTTTACTAGCTCTTCCATAAAGCCAACTTACGCAACGTAATCAACCACACAGCTATATGGCCAGTAAGTGTCGACAAAAACGTATATATCAGCCATTACTGTAGTTCGATTTGATATATCAGACCATTGTTGAGACGGAAAGTAGTCAATCATTTCTAAAACATAAAAAATGTACAACTTAGTGCTTTTTGTCGTTCAGTACTATGGATGGTATATCGGGAACCACTTTTTAAATTAAATACAAAGAGAGAGTGCAGTTAAAGTTTGAAATTTATTCACGACTTTATTACTGGAACATACAACTTATTTACGACAAAATTAGAATTATAGTAAAGGGACAACATATTTGTTTGTGTTAGCGGACGGGAAGGTAATAATACTACCATACACAAGCCCACAATCACTGAATCAGCCTCTGAGCCAAAAAGGCGAGCAGAGTTGTTAGAAGGCTAGCTGCAAGGCCCGAGACACCGCTATAGCAGCCCATGTTGACCATTGACATAATATAACGCCATTGGTCAGGGGTCTGGCAGGCATCCTGTGTGCAGGACGTGGTATTTGAGGTAGCCTGGACTGACAGATACAAGTCTGGACACTGGGTAATAGTGTAGTACCCTTCACAGGCGCTTGAAAGATCGTAACTGTAACTATTTCCATTTATTTGAGTGCAACTCTGATCTATTGACGTTGCAGACGAGCTAGTAGTTGAGTTCTGTTGCGGCCACGAATATGTGCGTGAAGTACATATCGTGTATGATCCTCCATTCTGGGACTGAATGGTCAAATACCGGTTCGCACCAGTTCCAAAGAAATAGTTGGCAGAGACTCTGTAAAAGTTGACCTTGCCGGGCCCCACATATTGGGCTGTTTGATCAGTGCCCCAGCTATTTGTGTACCAATTCGATCCACAGCGTGGGTTAATAACGCGTCTAGGAACTGCAAGAAGAAAGTAAATAAATTAACATATGTTAAAAACGGAAAGTAGACTTCCTTTACTTTGGATAATGCGCTTTGCTACTGGACCCGCCGACGTCGCTGCTGTACTGCCCAAAATGAGGGAGAAAAGATCTTGGGAGGGATCGCGGACAAAGCTCGAAAACCGTTGAATACTTCCTCCGCCATAGTATATAAAACGTAGGTCTGGAATCTGTTCTTGAATGTACTGTATCTCAGTAGTCGCGTAGCTGGAGTCGCCATCATTAACGGTTTGCTGGTTTGGCATGATTAGAGCAACCAAGGAGTGACCACTTAAACTCGAATTAGTCTTCTCCACATTCATTAGGTTCTGGGTAAGGTTCTGAATCGTCCGCAACACATTAGGAAGATTGAATCCCTGAGTATCTGCAGAGACAACGTTTTAGATAGAGCAAGTAACTCGTAAATGAACCCTTACATAACGCCTGCGTAGTGACATTCCATTTCTGGTACAAATCGGTGATATAGTTAGTAGTGTTCACGATAATAGAACCATCTTGTGCTGAAAGCATGGTGACTGTGGAGCCATACGGGTGGATATTTAGCTGCTGAATTACATAACTGAAAAATAATTTTAGTTATATGAAGATCTGTAATACGCAAAAAAAAAACTTACGCCACGTAGTCAACAATAGTGCTATACTGCCAAGATGTATCCAAGAAAATGTACAGGTTAGTCATGGGAGTAATAATGTCAGTCAAGTCAAGATTGTTAGTTGCCGTACAAGAGACATCGTTTAACGATTGTGCTGTTGAAGGAGAAATCAAAGGGAAGGCAAATCGTAATGCACACAAACACCAAAATATGGTTTTTCAAAAGGCTTCAGAAAACATAAAAGTATTTTCCAATCTTCTTAGTTAATGCAAGGTGGTTCCGCGATAGTAATGAAGAAGGGATTACTTACGCACATACGTCACCAGCGAAGCGGTGGCGTTACCGGCATACTGGGCAATTGCGGACGACGTGAGGGTGACGCGCAACTGCATTTCACGATCCAATACTAAGGCAAAAGCGCTTGTCTGGTCCTCCATTTCCTGTGATGGCGCAACATTTGTAAACTGGCTTTGCCTACTGCAGGCATTGATTCCCGAACTAAGGACTCCATTTGTGGAGTAGTACATGCGTAATAATTGAGAAAGCTTAAGGCTGGATGCCTGGGTTCTCCAGCTGGCCACGTTCTTCGCAAGTATCAGCCCATCAAGGCCGCCTCGGATCTCGGCGTCAGTCGCCTCAAGGTTGTTTCGCTGCGACAAGAAGTACCAATGTGGCAGAACTGTATCATTCCACCCCCCAGTAGCTCCAACAGAAGCTGAACTGGTCGATCCTGGAAGCTGGACCAGCGTGACCTCAGCCAAGTCCCCAGCCAAAGTGGCCGCCCACCTATTGTCAATGGAGTTGCTTGTTTGGGACTGACTGCGACCGCGTGCACGTCTTTGGGAGGCCAGGGCCAATAGGGTATTTAATTGGACTGTCTGCTGTTGGACGCCAGCTGCTATGCCGGCAATAAGGGTACCTAAAAATTAAGACGAATCGTTATTTTTCATCTCTGATTTATAAAGTTGGTTTAAAGCAAACATCAAGCGTTTAAATAAATACGTGTACAGACAACGAAATTACCTGCAGAAACCGTTCCCCAGCGCGTCCGAACAAGGCCATCCTCCACGGGGCATTGGCTAGTTCCCTCTGAGCCGGCATATGCCCAGTCGGATTCATAGTCCAATTCTCCCAACTGTTCATACTTTGAGACGGATACGGAAGACCGTCCCCGTTTTGGTCGAGTATCTAGCCATTCAACATCGCTAATGAAGTTGTTGTCATATTCCTTCTTCAGGGATCGTGGCAGTCGCTGGGCTCGATACTGAGAGAGCTGGTTGCACACGTTGTTTTCATCGCCCCGCGATCTGGTGTCAAAGGTGCTCGATAGCATAAAATGGAGGGAGCATCGTTCTACACTCGTCAACGAACTGTTGGGAAAGCTGTTGGCGTTTCCCGGAATTAAGCGTGACAGTAAAATTTTAAACTTGGGAAACTGAAAGCCTGTTGGACTGTACGGTATTACGCCATCAGCGGCGTTAATTCCAGCGGCCTTTTTAATGCCATCTTGGCGGAAACGATGGAGCAAGGACACAGCCACGGTTCGAATATCGGCCTGCACACCTGAAGTTCCGGCGTAGCTGTTCTCCACCTTCTCGATAAGCGAAATGAGCGTGTCCATATTGGCTGGTAGACGATTGTCCCGATTCATGAAGAATGATGTGTTATAACACTCGACCAGTGAGGGGGGAATTTGCAGCATTGCATTCTCCTGCGCCTGTGTCCCCAAGATCAGGAGAGAGGCTAGGCAGACAGCTGCTGCCAGGAGTTGTTTCGATTTCATGGTCAGATGTTCAGATTTCGTTGGGAAGCTAGAGTATAAAGTGATCAGTTAACAAAATTGTAAATTGACCCTGACACGCCTATATGGTGTAGTTTAATATAGGCACACGCACACCATTGCAACTTCCTATCGTGTCTTATCAATGGATTTGTCAATGTTTGTTCAGTGTAAATGTAATATACCGTATTAGTCACTAAGTTATTTTTTACTTCAGATGATTTTTTAGGGAGTATTAACTTAAGCATCTTTTATTTTGAACATTGTGAGCATATTTATAAAACACTTATCTAAGCTATTTCAACAGAACAGAACTGGTAAAGGTGACGTCACTCGCAAACGCTCATGAGTCAAGTCCACTTCATATACAATACACATTCGTTATCGTTTATCAGTTTATATGAGATCCGCTGTACTGCTGTAGTTTGTCCCATATAGATTGGTAATACCATACAACTGATAATGCGACTGGTAATACATAGGAAAATGAGTCAGGTGTAAAATACACAAAAGAACATCGTGGACCCGCGCCCCAATTTTTAACTTTGGTAAAGCTAACATAGTTTAAGGCACTGTGATTAGATAAGAGTCTTCGCGTAAGTACACGACTGGGTAGTCATTCCTGAAATTCCTTAAACTTTTGGTATATATTGTTGATTTCCAAAAACAGAGAACCGCGATCATTTAATTTGTTTTTACTGGCTGGCGCTCCTTTAACGATTGCCTTTTTGTAATTTACGGACAATTATTGACTACAGTTTTATTTATGTACACTGCTGCTAGAAACCGCACTCCGAAGCATTACCTTCTTGCACCCGTTAACTTTTTCGTACTGATAGTAACTCTACTGACCAGTTAGAACTGTGCCTCGCCCATGTGCCGACTGAAGGAATTGTTGTAATCTTTGAAACAATTCTTATCAGTAGAAGTGATAAGATATGGCTCATTGCTACGAGGTGATTGTAGTGAACCTGTTGTGCAAAAAAACTTGTTCATGCAGCATGGTGTTAATATCATTCTCAGAAATACTATACTCTTATATTTAAAAATTTCAGAATCGGAAAAACTTGTTCATGCAGCATGGTGTTAATATCATTCTCAGAAATACTATACTCTTATATTTAAAAATTTCAGCTCAATATTGCCTGTTGCTGTCAATAGTTTTGTAATAATTCACTTTAGTAAGCCAATAATGATTTATTAGCGCTAGGTTTAATTTAATGCATTTGAATTGGCGCTCAACGTAGGGCGCCTCTAGCGGGTTTTCCTGATAGTTAAAAAGTGCGCCCTGCCGTTTATTCTTAAGCAAAACGCTGAACCACAAACTGGTCGCACCCTTTCGAGTTCGTTGAATATACATGTAAGATGTATTTTTCTATGTATACGCCGTGTAGACTGTAGAGCGAATTAAGAGACGGTCATACTAATTAAATACTAGTTCGTGTTTTAGAACACTGCAGCTCCGTGTTTACGCACACTGTTTTAAATGTTTTACAATTGTGAATATCGTCCAAAATTATATTTTATTTCGACCGATTTCCCACAGCGTTCAGTCGGACGGACAGGCCGACGGACATGACTAGATCCTGATCAAGAATATATATACTTTATGGGGTCGAAAACGCTTGCTTCTACCTGTTACATACTTTCCGACGAATCTAGTATACCCTTTAACTCTGCAAGCCGGCAAACATCCTATTTGGTCTATATTTAAAAATGGCTTAAACCATAATTTAACGTTTTCTCCTTTCACAGCAAATTCTCCTGACCCAATCGGCTTGTTAAAGGTTTTAGTACTTATTTGAAGAAAATGGCAATACCTTTCGATCGGTGTATTACTTGTTCCGATAGGAATACTTAACAGATTTCAAATTTTGCGGCTATGTACTATATTGTAGTCGTACTTCCGATGCGATTCGTCACTACGTGGACTGCCCTTCACACCGATTATGTGTATGTAATGTATAATGGGTAATACAATTTTGGCTTGTGTTTATTTTTTTTAAACTATAACCTAAAGTGATGTTTTTCATAATTTTTTTGAACATTCAGAAAACTTATTTTCTTACACTATGAGAAAAATAAATTTTGCCGTTACAATAAGACTTCAGTTTTATTTTAATCAAAATAAATGTTTTTATCTTCCGACTGGCTACCCAGGTAACCTAAAGCCCCTAAAAATATTAAGGGCTCCTCATCCCAGCCCCCTTCCATTTTAAAGCTAATAAACTCACATTTACTTGAAAGAAAATACCAAGCGCTGGATTTATCGACAACCAAGGAATATACACAACAAAATAGTACACAACAGGCTTACAAAAAATCTTAAGCGAAGAATAAAATTTGAAAAACGAAGGCGTTCCTTTTTCATTAATAAGAAAACGAGCTTTGCCAACGGGCGCCTCATCCTAGAAGGAAAGACCATTCAATGAAAAACAATCTAAAACAAGTGAAATTCTTGCCCTTCACTACATCCATTGCAGGTATCACAGATGGAAGTTAACAAGGCATCAAATGACGGAGGCATAAAGGGTATCCTAGCGACGATTTTGCTGGAGGATACAATGAAGGATGTCAATAGCTAAGAATGTCCGGCAAAAAACACTAGTACCGAGCTTAAAATGGTATCGCAAAATTGAAGTGAGTGGGCGTGGGCCTAAACCCAAGCAACAGTCGGGGGATTCATCACATACAGAACACATGTTATGCCTAAGGCCAGAGTGTATAGCTGGCAACCGAATTCCTTATAAAAAGGACACCGTTTACGCACATAAAACTGCCTAAATGGAAAGGTTTTTCTCGTCTGCCCCCCTTTTCCGTTGCGTCTGGCCTAAAAAGTCATTACAAATTTTCAACAACTATAAAAATAAAAAGCGAGTGTGTGAGCCAAGTGTCACCCGCGACTTAAACTCAACCTTGAACTAATTAGTCATCGGACTTCCTGTCAGCTGCCAGCATTGGTAAGTACTGTCACAGAAAAATGTGAATATAGGCGCATCGCACAATGATTTATAGGCGTGAACATAAGAAGCATCGAGTTATAATACATTCACTACATTTGGAATTAGAAATTACAAAAGGATTAACACCAGCACACCAATACAAAGCTTTTTTTAATTTAATATATTTATATGCCAAAAAGAGAATATTACAATAAACAACTACCTTTTAGGACGCTGACCACGTATAGCAAAAAGGCATTCGATGCAGGCATGCTGTGAGTTCGACTGCAGCTGTTTAATGATGGTCAGCCAGATCCCTCAGTGCCCGTAAATTACACAACGGCCAGCAGAATGTACAATCCTTTGCCAGCACTTTTAAACCCCTCACTTCGAATTTGCGCAGTTTCTGTGTAACTCTAACGTTATTCTTCACAATCTATAATTGTTTTCCATTGTCCTGTCTGCTGCCCTTTGTGACCACACATAATTTATTGTATTTTCCTCCTTAGCAAACCAGTTTGCCTTTCCCACGCAGGTCAGAAGTCTAGTTCTGTATCCTTTTTTATTTTCTTTATGCTCCTTTCGATCTTAACACTTCTGCACTGCTTGTTGATCTTGTTGTTTTTCTACGAAGTCTCTTTTTCAGATCGAGAAACATACTTAAAACAACTAAGTTACTAAAATTTCTAATAGACGATCTTATTATAGTGTTTTTGAAAAAAACGTCAGGAAATATATATAAATGAAAAACACTTTCTTCAATAGATTTATAATAATGTATACAAGTACTTTTAAGTCCATTCTTCAGACATTTGTGAGTTAGAAATGTTGGAGTCCAATACTAGATCCGCCCGGTAAAGAAAACAATGTTAGTATATTCCTCGATTTTCAGATTAAGAATGAAATAAAATGAATATATCTTACAGCTACTACTGTCAAATTATGTCGCCCGTTCTCGATCTGAGCGCGACTTCCTCACACTCTTCAAGGCGTGCCATTGTCGCAGCTCCAGCTCATAAAAAACAATAACTAGCTGTGTGTGTGGGTTTGAATAAAAAATGTATGCGTTAGCTCTGTTGGCTGACAGGAGACAGGACATGGACATGTGTCCTTTATAACAACTGACAGAAGCATTCCGTTTGGGGAAAAAAATCCCTGCATTTTATGCCTAGCTTAAGTTGCCCAACAAATTTTCATGAGCCCACCGCAAACTTCTTCTGCAAGTGGTCTTCGCACATTCTAAATTATTGGCAGGGTTTCTTGGTTGGAGTTTAACACGTCTTGTGCAGTTCATATAAAATTGAATGCGTGAGCTTTACAGAATAGTCGAATAATTGCCAATTTACTGGATTCACTTTTATGGTACGGAATAGCAAACGTTTGCTACAAATAGGACCTATGAATTTTTGCACAGCTCAGCCTACAAAATAAATTCCATGCGGTATCAACGCTTTATGCAATCCTCTTAACCCTAGGCATGGCATTCTTCTTGGAAAAGAAATAGTCCAGATTTAAAGAATCCGGTTTTAGAGACTCCAGTTTCAAAAGAAGATGCCGCAACATTTGCGTATCCTTTGTCTATATTTCTGTTCCTTCGGTGATTATAAATTGGGTAAGCATTTGCTAGCTGTGATTTCACTCTGGTAAGATTTTCTGAATATGTAAGGTGATCTGAAGGGATTATCGTTCTCCCTTGTTGAGGCGTGTATTATTCGACCTCATTCCTCAGATTACTTCGGATTTGTTTATTAAACTAAACAATTTTGTAAGCTTAATACACCAAAAGTATTTTATCATATTACAAATATTAATAAACTGTGAACAAAATTTACCACTTCTTCTATAGTTACCTGCTTCAAGGAGTCGGCAAGAACAATCGTTATCAACCCCTTATATGAAATTACTGCGAACAATGTCTAAAGAAAAGTCCAATAAATCAACGTACCTACAAGAAAGGATGAAGGATTAAGGAGTTAAAAAATTAGTCGTAAGATTCTAGCAGGTCATGGCAACTAAAAAAAATGTTTCCAAAAAGGTAACGCACTCAGCATTAAAGAGCCAACAAATTGTAAAGAAAAGAATTTAAAATTCAATAAAGAATATCATATTATTAGAAACTCCTAAAATAGTAAATAAGGTAAAATTTGTTTAAGAATATATTGAATTTTAGAAAGCAGTAGCTGTTCTGCAAAATATAAGCATATGGAAAAGGATTATAATTTTCTCCTTTCTTTAGAAGCCAATTCTTTAAATATAATATAGGTAAGTATATAAAAACCATGTTGTCATTACAAAAAAAGATTCCAGTTGGATTCTACGTCAAATGTTTATTAAGTAGTTTCTTGTACGAAGGTTATTTAGAGCATCACTTAAATAAGCAATAACAAAGTGATAATAACTTGTTATTATTATAGTATGTGAAAGTGTAAAAGTTATAATGTAGAAAATTTGAGTTGTTGGGGGCGGTAGGGATAAATGCATCAGGTTATTAGCCTTCTTTAATTCTTACTGAGAATACGAATGGTTTCATTCGGCACGCTGCATTAGAAAATACCTTTGAATGAGAGAAGCTTAAATTTTTTGCTAAAGCGAGCAGAATGAAAACATTTTAGAAATTATACTTATTTAGTCGAGTGTTTTTTGTCGAGTGTTTTTGTCACAAAATTGTATATCAGAACTTTTTTATGTTGATGGTACGATCGTCACGACCCCTACCGCGGTAAGAGGTGTTTTTGTTTGAGTCACAATTCTCCGTCTATATATGGTGTCTTCTCCGGATGCGATTCGTCACAACGTAGACTGCCGTTCACAGTGATTTAATAAGATTTCAACATTTTTAGTTAAAGTAATTTAAAAAGATTTCTTAATTACACATAAATATTTTTTTTTCCTGTAATTTCATATCATTTTCAACATTTCGGTATCCATCTCTGCGTAAGTTTCCAAGCCTCACAGATATCTTGGTTTCGGTTTAAAATTTCTAAGCATTTCCGATACCATCAGTGTGTGAATGTATTTCTTACAACCCTGAATCCATAATCAAATGTTTAGCATTGTCTCGAGATAGAGGTGTGCTTAAGGGATTATGCAGTTTGACGTACTTCTCTTCTCGACTTCTGTACATCTGTCTCCTTTATTTATACCCAGTATAAATATTCAATTGAAATTCACAATTTCGTCTACACCTTTACATTCAAAATATGGGAAACATGCAAAATATGAAACTCATTACACTTAAACTTACGTTTTCAGCAATTGTTTTTAGAAAATATTTCTGAATCGCCATATTACACAAAAGTGCAATACAATTATTCCACAAAATGTTATACGGTTATTTTTATAACAAACTAACAAGCCAAGAACCCGTTGATCTGTAATTGCTGTTCAAAAAAATAAAACTAGCATTGGAGATTTCAAACGGATAGCAACGGATTTAGCGCACATCGAGGGTAATAAATAAAGGTCAAATTTTATAACAGTGTTACAATCTACATACAAGAAATTTTTCAAATCGGACCATTTATTAAAAAGTTATTCTCAAATAAAGGAATAGAAGCTAGGTGGCGTATTGGAGTGGTGTGCAATCTCGGACACCGATTTTCTGCATGCTTATCTCCCTCTCCCTCACACTCCGTTTAGCTGAGTAACGTCCTGTCTGTTCTGTCCCGTTTTGAAACTGCAGTATTTTAAAAGCTATCCCTGGATTCGCTCTTGCTCAATATTTCAGAGTTCTTATTATCCAGTAAGTATTTGTTGAATGTCAAAAAATGTTACTTGCCAATTTAACCATTTCATTTGTCTACTAAGTGGGGACAGTCTACTCCCGTTAAATGAAGCAATGGGGCCATGACCATTTTATATTAATAAAGCGCCGAGCACAATAACGTTTAAATGACCTCGCGTGACTAACTAAAACTGTCAGCACCAGGTAAGTTTTGATGTGTTTCCCCTATCGTGCTGTAAATTTGAACGGAACCAATACATTTTGGTAGCCCTAAATCGTATGAACGCGCCATAAATCAAACGTAAATGTTAGCTTGATGATTTTGCGTTATAAACAGTGAACTTTGTATATAGGTAAAAAGTTCTCTTTTGTTTATGTTGTGGCAAAAGTTAATAGAGTCCAGCCCACATGTGCGTAAACAGTTTCCTGACCACATTAAAACTACTAGAACAACAAAGCTAAAAAATGTATTCCATGCCATTAATCAAACAATCTCACGGGAGCATCGCACTCAATGGGAGCCTGTAAAAAGGCAGTCACAACAAGGGTATTTGTATCTTTCAGTGACAGATAAGTATTTACTATGCGCTTTGTAACTTTAGCAAAAAAAACGGATATTCCGCTTTTTCATAGTAAAATGAGAAAATTGAGAAATTTCTTAGACATGTTTGAACGGTCAGGGGAATTTGGTTTTTTTTTTCATTGAGAAATAATAGGGTTTACATTGAAAAGTGTCTACATATTACAAATTTCAAATCAAACTTTAAAACAAAATAAAATTTCTTACTGCCCAATATAAGATAAAAGTTGGCGATGGTTCTTCTTAGACTCTATTTGCATGTAAAAATGGTTTTTGTCCATATAGTCTAAGAAAAATAAGAAAGCAATAAATTTTTAATTTAAGGATGCTAAAGGTGTCGCTCATTATGCCGCTTAGAATGTATAATTTTCGTTTTTTACTTCAACCAAGATTTCGAAGCGTGTAAAAAACAGATTGACTTACCGCCTCCAGCACTTTTATCGATAATATCTCTCTCTTGATAACGTAATCCACATGGTAAAAAAATGAAGTCAAGGAGACTATCAAAATAAAAAATTACATTAGAAACACACTGTGCCGTCAACAGCCAAGGACAGATACGAAGGCCTCCTTAGCCATGTAATAAATGATCTATGTAATTGACTTATATGCCAAACACTATGAACCAAAGTTTTGCTCTAATGCGGCTATCTGAAAGGGACCCAAAATCAACTACCCCATACTTTGGACATTTACCGCACTCTTGTTATATATAAAAAAAGAAGCATACTTCCAAAACAGAACTAAGCATACCCTCCCAATCAGCATAATAAGTATTGTTCAACTAAAAATTTTTTTAAAAATATTTTTCAGTCTATTAGAACTTAACTTTCTCTTAAAAGTCCTTTTAAAAAGTTATCCACCTCACTAATAATTCATAAGTAATTATCTTCAAGAGTATTGAAAGCCAGACAGAAAGTTTAAATTTATTCTATTTCGCGCCTTAAAGAACTTAATTGTCTGGATATTTTAAAAATATTAAAACAGCAAATTTGAATTTTTCTTAAGTCTCCTTTAAAATGTTAAGTTTTTTGCTGATACTATAACACCCTCAGTAAGGGTATCAAAGCCCATAAGGAAAGTGTCCATTTTTTTAGGCAAATTTCTTTTGCGCCTGTAAGAACTTTATTGCAAGGGGAGCTAAAGAGGGAATGGAGTGTGTGCTATCACATCTTGAGGGTGCAAATAAAAATATTAACAACAAACTCTCACACATGACAACAAACCCCCCCGGATGACCCTCTTACTCTGTTTCTAATGCAGACCAAGGCAATGTGTCTGAATTGTGTGTCATTTGGGAGCACGAGCATTAGCATGTTGCAGAATTACCTTCGATTTGCTTGGGATTTCTTTTTCTTTTAATGTTTTTTTGTTATTCGAATTAAGTTATCACATGCGGTAATATCTTGATTTATTTATCTTTTCGAATATGTGTTTAACCTTATTTTAATGACTTATTTTATCTTTAAACAAATTATCTTATTTTAATGACTTATCTTATCGTTAACAAAATTGTAGCTTGTTACACTTGCCCTGGGAGGTCGTGAGTATTACTTAAAATATTCAATTATATTATATTTATATTATATTAATAATCAACAAGGATAGTATATTTTTATCCGAATATACATATACGTTCAAATAAGGTACGTAAATAGAGGCTGTGACCTCCCAGTTTTATTGTTGGCGCCATTCTTATAGTTACTTATTGAGGGACAAACATTTTAAAGAAGCCCCCTTCTAATCCAAGAGTTCCAACCCTGTTTTCTCCCTTTTCCATATTGCCGTGAGCCTCTGACAGGGCGCTTGGAACCGTAATAGAGGACCCTTTTCATTTCTAATTTTGTATACATTTTGCATCAAAATACAAAGAAGGAGAATAAAATTGGAAACATGCAAATGGCGCGCTGAAACTAAAAGCAGAAAACGTTGCCCTGAAAAATCATTGTTTTGTCGAAGCGCCGAATTCACTCTCACACATAGCTAAATACATGCAAGAATATGCTGCCGTTACACGTAATCAGTCACAGAAATGCCGGCCTTTTGTTTGCGGATTGAATGAAGCCGAAGGGAACACAAAATCATCAAGAACGGAAAGAGGACCATAGACCTCCGCTTGGGGTCATCGTAAGGTCAGCAACGGGATTTTCCTGCCATTGTTGACAAGGGATGCAACTCACTCTCATATACACATTTTGCCTGCTTTTTGGGCATTTTCACAATCTTTTTAATTTTTTGTTTTGAGTGCTGAACATTTTTGCAATTCTTTTTAAACCTATTTTTTATCTGTGGTTATGCATAAGATTCAAGGAGGATGCTGCTGACACGCGATGTGTTGAGTGTAAGGAACAGGGTTTGAAGTGTGCCAAGAATTAAGTGTGGCATCAGCCTCTCGCTCTACTTTTTTGTTGAGCTCGCCCTGATATTTTTTCTTGCTTCCTGCGTCCTTTAATGGTATCTGCATATGTTGCGTAAATTGATATGCTGCATCCCAAACCCTGGACTGCGTGACTGAGTACAATTCTTTAGCTAGAAACGTTCGCCATTTTCATTTAACCCCACTGAATGAGGGCTGTACTTTTAACGGGGTGGCTGACTGCTCTTTGCCAAAAAGGGGTGGACATTATG